ACGGCAGCCCTCTCCCGGGCCCCATCCACCTGACGTTCCCGCCGCCCCAGGCTGAGTCATCCCTCTGGCCCTCTCCTCTTTGGGGACCACTTTGTATAGCTGTTCTCACTGAATTTCTACTTGGGAGCAGCCTTTATCTGTTTAAAGATTTCAAAAGGAATTAGCCACGGAGGGAGCAGGCACAGTGCAATCAGGAAGAAGGCTTCAGGAACCACAGAACCCTTTCAGATAGACTTCGCCTCACCACATGCCTTTAAGCGGGAGCCTGGGTTTTCGAACTGCCCAAGAAAGGGCTGATTGTTTCGTTTAAACAATCAAGCGCTCAATAATTCAGGGGCTGACGGGCCAGGACCCTCAGGACCCGCTGCTTCACCCACATCTGTCCTTGGACACCCTCGATCTTTGGTTCTTTCAGCCAGGGACAGCGAGAAGCAAAGGAAGATTCCAGACTCTGAGGGTGGCCGTTGCTAGCCCTTTCCCCACGCTCCTGGATGGCCACTGGCTGTGTGTGCTTTTTCCTGACCTGTTCAGAGCAGGGGCTCTCTGACTGACTGGTCAGCTCTGCGTTCCAGTCCTGCGTGGGGTAGAAGCGGGGGCAAGCAGGCAGTGAGGTAGAGCACAGTGGAGCTGGGCATGGCACCAGGCTGCCCATCAGCTCCTGTGCTCCAGCCTGTGCTTAGTCCCAGAGGGACGGTGAGGTCTCTTGATAGCTGACCCTCTGAGGCTTAGAAGGGCAGAGTGAGGGGCCTGCCCAGGCCCTGTTCTTCCACTAAGTGTCCACCTCTTCCCTGCAGCCAGCCCCGGGAGGCTCAGGCCAAGTGACAATAAGGTGGTGGACAGGGAGGCTGGAGACCCTTGCTTCTTCCTGGCTCAGCCTGGAGGGCTAGGTCCTGCGAGTGGACAGTGGAAGAAGGGCGTGCAGAAGGGGACCCTTCAAGGTGGCGTGGAGCGCGGACAGCTGTTGGTCCCTGCTGCGGATTTGCCTTCTGGTTCCAGAGACTACCCAGAGGACGCGTTCTTATGATCAGACTGTTCTCCCCACAGACAATAATGCTGAGTATCCCCACGAGTCCCTGGGTGACCCTCTTCCTCCTTCTGGACGGAGTGCTGGACTCGATGACATCAAGTTCCCTTCTAAACTGAATTCTGCTCACGGCGCCACTATTTCCACACTTTGACAGACCCAGGAGCATTGGGGTCCCACTCCAAGGCCCCACCTGGCCTCCTGCCAGGGCACTGGCTGGGACCGCCCCCCCACCCCCAATGTACCTGTTAAGGGGAAGGATGTCTTAAAGGAACTCTGCAGAGGCCCTCCCTGGTGGCACAGCGGGTCAAAGCACAGCACTAAGAAGCTTAAGCCACTTCCGCATGAGTTCGATTCCCGCCTGCCCCG